ATGAAGCGGTATATAAGTCTAACTGCTATTGCTATTGCTATTTACAATTTCAGATCACTGGCAAAAGTATGCAATTATATATCTCCACCCCAAGCCAGATAAATGATATGGTGGCAGTGATAGCTGTGTACCTGGATACTGTAAGGATCTGGATGGGAAGGAACTGGCTTTGACTGAACTCTAGCAAGATGGGGTTTTGGCCCTTCAAGCCCATATGATTTTTCATCTTTGACTCTGGACATGGTGACACTTTCTCAGATTGAGCTGGTACACAATGTTGGGGTCCTACTAGACTCATGGCCCATTACTCTTCTGCAGCTTTTACAATTCTAATAAGGTACAAACATTTCCTAGTACCATTTTAATTAACTTGCATTTGAGCTGCATTTTAGAAAAATATTAAGTCAGAAGCATTGTTGATATATAGATTGTGATTTACAATACTCACTTCTTGTGATTTCTCTCTTGGCTGCTTGAAAATCCACAAAAAGCTGTAATTTCCATAGAAGATAAGGAGTGGCTTTTTTAATATGACTCCTTATAAATACAACAAAGTATCCATGGAATTTTCCTCATCATTTTATGGTTTAGTGTTGATCAATTAGTCTAAAGATTATATGACATAAAATAATGAAGCATATTGCAATATTAAAAAATTAACAAAATACTCAATTAAGATACCGTATCTTTTGGACTATAAGACACACCAGTGTATAAGACGCACCAAGATTTCAAAGAGTTACTTAAGTCAGGAAAAAAGTTTTATTCCTCCCTAGCCCCCAGGAGCGCTCTGCAGGTTTTAGCAGGGCTGGGCAAAAACGCTCCCTGTTTTTCATCAAAATGGGGGCATTTTTTCCTTCCCCCAGCCCTGCTGAAGCCTGCAGAGTGTTTCTAGGGGCTGGAGGAAGACAAAAATGCTCCCCATTTAACGGCCTGACTAACATTTCCACTCTTTTATGGGGAAAAAAGATGTGTCTTATACTCCAAAAATACGGTAATTCCCTTTGGCAACTGAGTCCAATCTGATCTAGACAGGAAACTTTAAGAGGAATGGTTTTAGTTATAAATTTGTTAGTCTCTCTTTCTGTCCATGTGTTTGTATCTTGGAGGAAGTAAAATAGCTTAATAATGAGGTCCCAATGAGCTATCCTATCAATTAGTGACTTTAAAAAACCATGCTCTGATTAAGGTATATGGTTGACAGTTATGCAGGAGATGAATGATGTTCCGTTTGTCACATGTTGTTTATAATACATCCTTGATGAAATTGCTACAGAATTGAAGCTTGTTTTAATTCTTGCTTAATCCTGCTCTGGTCAGTTATTCTTTGGCCCTGTGTCAGGCCCGTAGTTATAATATTTTGCTGTTGAAAGGTTTTCTTAGTCTTTTGGCTGAGCTCTAGTGTAGTATCACTGCTTTAAAGAACTAAGTTTTTCTTTCTTCTAGATATACATCCGAACTAGACTATGTTGTATATGCATAATGTTGCATTTATTTATTTATTTTATCATGTTTNAATTTTTTTAACATTTTCTAATGGTGGTGTGCCTCGTGATTTTTTTCATGAAAAAAGTGTGCCTTTGCACAAAAAAGGTTGAAAAACACTGCTCTGGAATATGTTTAATTACAAAATATGTTAACATTAATATTTGTTAACAAGAAACACCTACTTTACTTAGATTCTCTGAAAGCAGAATAATTGCCTCAGATATATTTCCTGAGAAGTGTTAAAAGAGTTTAATTACCCAGTTGAAAAAAGTAATTTTCTATTTATTTTTATATTTTGCTCCCTAGAATCTATGTATATGCTAGTTAGCAAAACGATAGAAGCTGTTGTCAGGCTCCAATGTTCAGGAATTTGAACAAATAATGCCAAAAAAACCCATTCCAGCTATGTTAATTTTCACTGCAGTCTCATCTCCTAACTATATGCACATCTGCAGGGGGGGTGGGGGGTCATTAAATTATACTCCTCTTACAGGATGCATGCTTAATAATAAGAAGCAACTTCATATATCCAAGATATTGATCATCAAAATTCATCCTTCCCAAAATATTTTCATTGCCCAAGTGCAGCCTGACCTGTTTTTTTAATAAAGTCGATGTCTCATATCTTAATGTATTAAGCTTCTAGTGTTGTTTGTGTTTTCTTTCTTCTCCTTACACCCTAATAAAAAGATGCAGAAGGAAAACACCCAGATAGCAATGTCTTTCCCTCAAATTATGCCTTCTAGAAGTGTGAAGATTCAACTCATGTAGCTCTCCAACTAGCATAATCGACGTGAAACATATCTGGAAAGTAGGAAGTCTGAGGAAACTTGTGTTATTAAATGGATCTTTTCCTTTTGCAGCTTTTTGAAGAAATTATAGGTTAACAATGATGTTAACCAAATAAAAACCCATTTTCCTTTCTTACAGTAACCAGTATTGTTGATGAGAAACAGGCTAAAAGCAAGCAATCCTTAAAAGTAAAGACTATATCATACTAGATGCGCCATTGCTGCTAGACACAAAATCATTTTTATTTTAACATAATGATATATTTATGCAAAATCTGTTCCACCATATGGATGGTAGGTACAAAGAAAACAAACCCATCACCTTTGCTAGACATCACAATGAGTAATGAGAGACACTAGCTTTTGAATTTCAGCACTGTCATAAATAAGTAGTAATCAACAATAGATCTTAATAATCTAACTACTACTGTTGGATTTCTGACAAAGAGAAAAATATTGGAAATGAGGCCCTGATATATATATATATATCTTTTTAAGCCACATTCCTTGTCTTCTTCCCCTCTGCTCTCATGTAACTTCACAGTAAGCCATTTGTGCTCCAAGAGGCTGGTCATTCACCCAATAATTCTCTGGCCAGGAGTGCCAGTGGGGAAGCTGGGATTCAAACCTCAGCGCCCACTGCAAAACCAGTGGCAAGCACTTCCTCTGCTTCTTTCTTCTCTTCTTCTACTCTAATCCTGCCTCTACTTCATTAAAGGTATTTATAAACAATTGAGAGAAATCTGACTATTCTTTTCGTAGGCTGTAGCTTAATATTTCTGACGTAGCCCTTTCAATGAGCAAGTCAAACTCCCACAACGGGACAGTTTGATGTTAAAGTGCATTTGCTATCATCTTAAATGAATGTCACTTCAAATAATGCTTTTATTATTCTTCTGAACCAGAATCCTTTCCTACCAGAGAACAAGTGATGAGTACCGTTTATATAGTAGTGTGTGCCTGCATCTAATTTCAGATTCTTGAGAAGATATAATAACAAGATTAATTATCACACGTTTCAGCTTCCTCTTGTCTCTTTGCAAGCCCAGGGTGGGTTATATTTTGCTGGTTTTTGCAATCCTGTGCAATGTACCCATTGAAAAAAAAAAGAGCTCTCCTGCAATCCTAACCTGAAGATGCAGCCAGAACAAAAAAAGTGGGATTCTCACTCTGGTATATCACAATCACCAGAAAAGTGGGGAAGGGAGAAAAAAGACCCCCCCGCCCAAACTCAGTACTTGTTGATTCCAAAGATACGGACACCATGCAGCTGAGGCAACTTGGGGATCAAGACGCTCATCAAAGAGATGGTGTTGATGATGAAATGTATCCGGTCATATTTTGTGTAGAAACTGGTAAGAAAATAACTGGAAAGGAAAGGAAAGGAGTTTCAGTTTTGCAATAGTGTTTAAAATACTTTAAAATATTTGTCCCTTGTCCTACACAACTGGATGATATCAAAAAAAGGGGGGGGGAATGCTACCTGCAATCTGACAGAGGACAACAAAAAGATCAGAATTATGAGACCATCCTTTCCAACTAACATGTTTTATTAAATTGCGTAAGATTTGGTGAGCTTTATCCACTGAAATGAGTTGCAGCTCACCAAACTTTTTTGCTCTATTTATTAATTAAAGGTAATTCTTGTTTAGAGACTGCCTTCTACAATGATCATTTACAGTTATGATGGTGGTGAAAAAATAATCTTGGAACCAATCCTCACACTTTCAATTTCTGCAGGTCTATAAAGGAAAGCTGAAGTAAGATTTTAGTGACCAAATTGCCATTTCCAATTGTGGTAACTAAATGAAGATTACCAGTATTTCAATTCTATCCAATGATTTTTGTAAATCCCAACCAAGATTTCAGGAATGCCACAATATTATAAAGTGTTCCGACAAAAAGACGAGTCAGAGTTACATGCAATCTATCCTGTCTATTGCCTTTTTTAAAGAGTTGGTAGAAAAAAGAGCAATCCTACATGGTTACTGATTCTGTGTGGCCCTGGCTAATCCTTTCCACTAGGAGGACTGAAGGAAGGCAGTAAAGCAAAGTGGGCAAAAAAAAAAGGCTTGTTTTGTAGTGGCTTCACTGATAACCAATTGCAAACCAATTTTCTACTGTCATCTGAGGATAGAAATTGGGGCAAGAAGAAAATAGGGATCCTGAACATTTGGAAAGAACTAATATACAAAACTGGCTACCACAAGATGGGATGAAGATGCCAACTTGAGACGGGTTAAAAAGAGCTAAACCTGAGAAAGAGAAATTGATGAATGCTGTCGATGAACTCAGGGGAGAGACAATGTCCTCATGACTTGCCACTGGTTTTCAAGTTGTCATCAGATTGGGCAGTACACAAAGTGATAATTGGTTTTCTACATCCCATGATTTCAGCTAGGTGGGTGGTGTTGCCATTATTGTCTTGTGCAAACCAGCAAACTATGATTCATCCAATAAATGATATTTAAGCATACATGCAATACACACATGTATTGCTTCAACATAGGAAACAGAATGCTGGATAGATAAGCATTGATCTAATCCAGCAGGACTCTTATGTTCTTAGGTTATGTGGTGAGCCAGTGGTTAGGAATGTGTAATATCTCCCTCCCACATCTGCTGACCTACAACTCTTACTAAAAGTTTCATCAGAAAGACCAACAGAGAGAGGGACTGAAAAATATAATTCCAGACTGCTTTACAGCTGACATAACTATGAGGTATCTATGACTTAGCCCATCTTGTTCTCAATGGTCTTCCATGTAATAGTGCTTTGATCCCCCTATTTCAGGGCAAACTGGAGCACTCCCTGTATGCTGAAATTGGAAAATAACAATAGAAGAGAATTTCCAACCACAGTCTCTTTGGTACTCACAGTACAATTGGTGTGATAGTCAAGAACTTGCGAGAAGCTGTCAACTGCACTCCATAGTCCATCTGTTCCCAGTGGGTGAGCAGCCGGGCCTTCCCCTGATCAGGAGTCTCAAATGGCGTTCCTTTCACAGTGTGTAAGAAGATGTACATACTCTGTAAGAAAACGTAAAGGTTTGGTAGTTTAGCAGGACTTTTTACCTTGCTTGGCTGCATACTTTCTTTCAGATTGAAGTTTAAGTGATGAGAAGTGTGAAAATGACCTACAGTACAGTACAGTACAGTATTTTTGCAATGAAAGTGATACAATAAGGGAAAGTGCTGGGATAAAGTCCAAAACCACTATTTTAAGAAGAATTAGTGCTTTTTTTTTTTTTAGTGTTGTTTTACTGCTAAAAATTGCGGCTATTTCTTAGAATGAAACTATCAGTATGGGTGATCCTAGAGTCCATTCATTTAACAACCATTTGAATTTACAACTGCACTTCAAAAGTAAGTAACTTCTTGCATTTATGACCGTAGCAACATCTCCACTCTCATATGAACAAAATTTGGGCACTTGGTAACTGGCATATATTTACAAGAGTTGCAGCATCCTGGAGTCAAGTGATTGCCATTTGTGACCTTCCCAGCTTTTGAATAGAAAAGTCAATTAGGCAAATTGGATTTACTTAATGACTGTTTTATTCACTTATCAACCATGGCAAAAAAAGCTTGTAAAATCAACTGCTTAACAACTACATTGCTTCGCAATAGAAAATCAGTTGTATTGTAAGGCAATACCTATACATGATGCAACAAGGGCTTTCTAACTACCAGTACCTAATTAAAATAAGCTGATTAGACTTGGCCAAAGTGTAATAAAGGATGACTGAAACTAGATGTCCTTGTTTCTGTTCCATTACCATAACCACATGTTGACTCTCACGCTAAGGAAGGGCATTCCCCCCAAAGACCAAGAATACTAGCTTTGAGTGGACATGTTGTCTTAAGAGAAGAGGGCATCAAGAGCAAACAAATAGTCAAATACTCAGTATGAAATTTCTTCACATCCATGGAAATAATTACTGGCTGGCAAGCTTGATACTATGACTCCCGCCCGTCCAGGTTCTTTTTGACTTATTTCACTGGGCTGCAGTCATGATAAGAGCTGTGCCAAAGAGTTCTTCAGCATCATCATACATCAGAGCCAGCTGGGGAGCTGAACTACAGAGGATAGAACATAAATTGACAGCCAGATCTGGGGTATACAATGGATGGACACAAATCAAGGAGAGAAGCAAGAATTAGTCTCCAAGAGGCTTGAGAGGATAAACTGACAGACATACTTAATAGACTGGAAAATGATACAGTGAATGCTGGCCACTGGAATGATTAACATCTCACATCTCCATGGCTAGTGTTGATGTGCGGAATATGGACACCAGGCAAAGATGGCGATATGTTTTTCTCTCTATGTGAAGCAGTTATATATACCTGAGCAGGTGCAAATGTTCTGACAATAAAGTTGCTGCGCAGGAGATTTTGGTACAATCTTTGGGTTGCCGGGTAGTAGATGGTTCACCCTCTCATTTCAAGAGTAAAAACACTGAATAAAACTACTGCAGATTATGTTACATCTCAGTGGGGAAAAGAGAGCTTAAGTTAAATTTTCCACCTGTAACAACAACCAACTGGAGTGCAAAGCCTCAATTAGTTTCAAGTAGATTCTTATATAACAAAATGGGTTTTTAAGCCATCTTTCTGGCCTGCAATTGGGCTGCAGCTTTCAGTGTTCCACTCAAAGGCTACCACTTATACAGCTCTGAAAACCATTTCAGCAACTAATGATAGACTAGTAGGAATGGCCAGGTAGAACAACACGTAGCAGTGTCAATTCCACAAAAGTGAAATAATACAAACCATAACCAGAGACTCTTTCAATATTCCTGCCCCCAATACAGTGGGGAATGGAAGAATTTATATTCTAAAAGGATGTAAATGACTAGCTGACTGCAAGGAATATAAATCCTTCTACTCTCTCACCATCCAGTCAGAGCTGAAGAAGCTTCTTGGATGAGAAGTGAAATGTCTTCGAGGAGAAAACAAGAAAGTCCAGTTGCCTCTTGAAAAAGCACCTTTGGGACAACCATGACCTGGATGACTGAGAATCTCCATAGGGATAAGCCTATGTTATTAAAAGCTAAGTTTTTGAGTTTAGTGTCATTCTGTGCAATCGAATATGAAATCTATTCAGAGAGAAGGAATCCTAGTGGACTTGTGGTCATTCTCAGTCATCATATTACTATAATGAAGTAATGATTCCAGGCAAGTAGCTGAGGCCCCTAGCTGGAGAACTGATAGCTCTCCAGGGTCTGGCTCACAATATGTATCTCATGGGTACTCGGTTTGCAGCTGAAGTAGCTACTTGGCACTGCAGGAAAGGTGAACTGAGGGGACATTACTCTGAGATACAAATCAGCTTAAATGACTGGCTGATCGTATCATTGAAATGAGAAAGAACCACTTTCCTGAAACTTGTCACCATTGTTATAGCTTTTAATGTATTACTTTCTATTACATTTTGCCTCATGTTCTCCATGCAGTTCACTTTCATACCACTTTTTATTTACTTATGCAATTTTTCCTATTCTTATAACCGGGTTTTTGGGGGGAGGTTGATTTTCTCTCATATATACAGGTAATCCTTGCTTAATGATTGGCCCATTTAGTGATCATTCAAAGTTACAATACCACTGAAAAAACAATTTTATGACTGGTTCTCACACAACCATCGCAATGTCTCCATGGTCATGTAATCATTCCAGTCACTTCACAACTCATCGGGAGTTTACAACTCTCATAATGTCCTGTGATTTGCACACTTACCAGCTGGTTTCTGATAAGCAGAGTCAACAAAGAGCAGTAAAATGACCAATTGTGGTCACATAATGTTTTGTTCAATGATACAGACTGATTCACTTAACAACTGGGGTAGAAGTAAGGTCATAAGTCTGTCACAATAATATGATGTCTTGCTTAACAGTTGCATCATTTAATGATGGAATTGCCAATCTCAATTGTAATTGTGAAGCAAGGACTACCTGTAACCTAAAATGTACATTAATCCAGGAAGAGTAGTGTGAACATGTGCATATCAGTCAGATCTGACGCACACCCATGACTTAATATTTCACTGTAGGACAAATTGGTATTGTACCAATCTAACTCATCCCTTATACATTGGGTTTAGTGAATCTGTCATTATGATTATAGTTCTCAAAACAGGGATAGGCAACCATTAATTAATTCTTCTGAACCAACTCAACCAAAGGCCACTCTTTTAAATAATTTCCTACTGTAATGTGACTTAATCTTGATTATTCACCAACATATCAAACTTGATTTTGCAAACTAATAAAAACTAATCCAGGCTTTTTTTCTCTGTAAAGGGAAATGATAGTTTAAGCTCAGCATGATAGGAAGCAGTGGGAATGCCACTTTGCCACTTTTACTGGGCTTTGACTTAATAAACTAAGATCTTTATATGTGAATATTCTGCTTCAAATACCTTACTCAGCGTATTCTACTGTTACCCTTGTCCCAGGTGATGTGATGGACATTTTCACCAGATAATATTAATACCTGTCATCACATTATCCTAAATTGCCATATAGAGAACACTGAAAGATCAAACGGGCCCCCAAATCAACAATAGTTTAGCTGAGATACATGGCTAGTTTCCAAGTTGAGCCAGGAATCTATGTAGGATGATGAGATCCTCAAGGAAGCACTCAGGTCCAGGAAATGGATTCCAGGTAGAAAAGATTATACCCACTGGCTGTAGGGCTGTGCAACAATTGCATCTGAACGTACGACAGTGACCACTGATGTGTCTATTCCCTCCCCTCTTCCCATTTGTTTAGAGAGCCCAGAGTGGGACCATCACTTTGGTTCCTTCCACTGCCTGTTGCAGAAGCACCTGTTTGTGAAGCCAAAGAGCACCTTCATACCATGTTGTGAATGAGGTTAGTTAGCGTCCAGACGACAGGGACACTGAAGAAAGGAATGCTGAGCAAAATCACGTGCAGGAGGCCAATTCCCAAGATATAGGAGAGCCATATGCCGCGGCTGTTCATAACACGGGTATTTGGGTTCACTTCACTGTGAGCTGTGCCCACATTCATCTTTCTGGTACAGCAGCCCTGAAATGGAGCAGAGAGCAACAAAAGTGTGTCAAAAACAATTTGCCATGCCAAAGAATATTATCAATTTGTTTTCTTCCATATCAGTTAAGCAATAGTTCTACCATCAGATTGAAGATGGGTATCACTGATGCCTGATATTTTTCAACACAGTCTTTGACAGCTGGGATGAGCATGTGAGCACTGCTTTATGCATCTGCACACCAAAGAGGGGAGAAAGGAAACAGGCATGGAACTGAATACTTTCCCAGACCTGTGTGGTTTAATTGCACTGGGTCTACAACTCTCATCACTTTCAGTTAGACTTACTCGTGATGGCGAACCTATGGCATGCATGCCACACCTGACATGCAGTGCCTTCTCTGTGTGCACGCAAGCTGTTACCCCAGCTCAGCTCCACTGTGCATGCATGCATGCATGCCGGCCAGCCGGTTTTTGGATCTATGCCACACATGCACGGGGGGTGGGGCGCATGTGGGAGACACGCTCGCATGTGCAGGGGTGGGATACACATGTGCAGCGCACATGAGGGTGTATGCCCATGTATGGAGTGGCAGGGCTGGTGGGGATGGCGCACACCTTGCATTATGGGTGCATATGAGTGCTTTCAGCACGCAATGACAAAAAGGTTAGCCTATATTGGCCTATAGGCTAATCAATAAAGATATCATATCGTATCAGTTAGACATGGAATTGTGGTTTCACACTGAGAGGATACCATGCTTACAGATAATTATTATTTTCATTAAAACAACAACAACAACCCTCAGGCACTTGATCCAAAGAAGAAACGTAAAACATTTGAAATCTCTATGTACTTCCACTTTGGCTGTAGCATCAATTCTGGATCAGCTGTAAACATCAGCATTGGTTTCTTTCCCCCATTCCAATCAATGATTTATTTGAAACAGGTGTCAAGCTGCTAGTTTTTTTGAAAAGATTTTGGGTAGTTAGTTTCCTTGCCTCAGCCTGGCTTCAAGCTTCAGGATCCAGTTCCTGGTGTCTGGAAACATTAGTTACAATGCCTCCCCCTCTTCACCAACTGTATGGGCATCAGCCAGAATTAGAGGTAAGGACCCAATTGCAAATGCTAACATTACCATTGAATTATTATAGCTTGCAGAAGTCTTTTAAATGTAGGAGGAAACATGGCAATGCTGTTGAAAAGCATTTTTAGAGGAAAAACTCACAACCCTCCCCCCCCCCAAACAGCCAAACAAATACATACAATGTGAACTAAGGAGGAGAATGAGGTGGCTAACAATTTATTTCCTTTTTTTTTGTATGTGGTGGGAGTGAGAGATTTTCATGGCTTCAGAATGTGTAATTGTTCAGTGGATGAGAAAACGATGAAAAAAGAGTTTTGCTCTCCTGTTATTCAGCTGGAGGAGAGCACTGATTGCTTTATGGTATTCCTTGCAAGTTTACAGTGATTCATGGGGCATCATGTGTGATGTATGCTATTGTAGGGCTGCCGCCTCACTAAATAATTTTTGGGTTGCTTTTTGAATATAGGATGGCTTTAAACTGCTTTGTTAGCATCTAGGGAATGGAACCCTGTGTGGCATGGAAGTGTCCTGAGAAATCTGAGGGGATTCTATGTATGATTTCCAGTAATTAGAAAGTAAAGGAGTTGAGTGATCCTGGGTGGCTTTGATACACAGAAAAAGAAAACTGTAACATCATGAAGGCTGTTTTCTAGATGTGCAATGAGACCACTGCAAAAATTAAGATTAAGCAAAGCTGTATTCAATTCAACAAGAATAGAAGTAAAATGGCTTAAATATGTCTGTGGCAGGGAAGAAGGTCTTCATTAACCAGATGTGATGTAATCACTGTCTATTTGAAACACCTGTGCTTCTACCAGTTAAAAAAATTGCTTTAGCAAATTCACATGTGCATTCCATGATCCTTCACCTGTTTCTCTGTATTAATTAGTTTAACACTAGCATACTATGCTTTGCATTGGCTTCTGAAGCAGGTTACTTGGAGGCTCAAGTAAATGCTGAATTATTAACATCTCACACCAGGCAGGACCAATAGTGGCTCTGACATGAGACGGGAAGGGAAACTTTAACATTTTGCTCTAATGCTCCATTGTATCTGTTGTGATCCAAACTGTTACCCCTTAGCATTGCAATTTGCTTCAACACTCTAACTAAATGAACACGAAGAATACAGAACCTGTTAAAAGCAAGGACTTTCATGTCCCATATTAGAGTTTTGTTTCAACTTGGGCCATATTGTGCTAACTATTTATTTGGAGAAGACAAAGCAAACACTAAAAAAAAAGACAAGATACTTGCAAACCTATCAAGTTTGTCTTTCATTAAGCTAAACACTCCCCCACCCCAAAGTATTTTACAAAGTATAATCTTAGAGTGAGATTTGTATTTACCAGCAAATAGGTACAAAAGATTATGGAGAAAAATATGTATTTGTTAGGAATCAAAAATGATTTGATAGCACATAGTTGGTATAAAAAAGCTATTTGGATAGATTGAAAGGAACTTAACCTGATACACTGGCAATTTGACTTTGATTTAACTTTTGAGAGGCAGAGATAGTGGCTGATGTGCTATGTGTCACATACTTAACAAGTAAAATAGCCTACAATCATATCTGTCCATCACTAAAGTAAGAGACAGATGTTTAGGATATCAGGAATTTAACCAAATATCTTCTGCTTAGAAAAAAAATGCACTGGGCCAGGGCTATTTTGTACTATTCAAATATTCCTCCTTGAAATCCCTACAATAGCCCTATAAATTGAGATTAGCACTTATCTCAATATACATTAAAACTGGAGGTTACTTTTTTTTTCTTGGCATGTGCATTGCATGTATTCTTCTCCTGTTCTCCCTGGGAGATTCTCCTAGGTCCCCCCCC